GAGTCGCTGGGAGGGGCCTTGAGACCCAGCTCACAGGGCTCTGTCTCTGCGTCTCTGCATCGCTGGGAGATGGGCTGGGATGAGGCCCGGGCTGTGCTGCCCACAGAGGTTGTCCTGGGCAGGGCCCCTGTCTGTGGAGGCCCTCCTCCTGCCAGCTTCCCTGACTCGTCCTCAGAATCCCGGCACCCTGGTGTCTGGGGACACCTCCTCCAGTGGCCCGCTGCAAGCAGAGGATTTCTTTGAAATCTCTTGTTTTATCTTCAAAACTCACGCAAGTTGGGCATTGTGCTCCCTAACGACTGAGTGGCTGTTGTCAGCATAGAAACCAGGCTTGACATGACTTCTGCCCAGACACGCTGGCATCACAGGAGGAGGTGCCATGTCTGTTCCTGTAGCTTCACGCAGCCCTGGCTCCAGTCCAGGACACCCTGCCCCCAGGGAGACACAGCACCCTGACTTTGAGATGCACAGACCAAGGGGGACCAGCCCCTCCCCTGGGTCAGGGGGCTGGGGAACCTGCCAGGAGGCAGGGACCTGAGGACCCTGTGCCCGGCTCAGGATGGGCCAAGCCTCTCTCAGTTGAGGCTTCACCTGTTCCTTCACTTTCCTTACCTTTCTGTTGCACAGATGCTCACCGAGTGCCTGAGAGTGGGGTGGCTGAGTGAGGCCTTTTGGCTGCTCCTTTTAGACTGGAGCTAACATTAGAAGCCCCCAGGAGCCAGCTGTCCACATCTACCGAGGAAGGACTGAACTGATCCTCTCCCCACAGCCTCCCTCCTGTGGAGGCCCAGGTGGATCCACAGTGGGCAGAGGATACTGGAGGTGGGAAGAGCCGGTCAGACAGGAAGGGGCTTGGCCAGGGGTCCGAAGAGCGCAGTGTAGCCAGAGAGTGAACAGTGGCGTCCCTCACTGAGGACAGGACTCCCTGCCTCTGTCTGTCCCCTCCCATCTCCGTGTGCACCCCATTGGTCCCACATCATTGTCCAACCTGTGAGCTATAATTGTGCCACTGCACTCCAGCCTGGGCAACAGAGCGAGAGCCTGTCTAAAAAAAAAAAAGAAAGAAAAAAATATAATGAAGTGCAAAATGTTAAACTTGTTCAATCTTGTAAAGAACTATCTATCCACAGTTTTGAGAAATGGGTTTCCTAAATCGTGTTAAGCTGTTTTAAAAATCATAGTGACTGACACAAATGGTAGTTGGGATCTTTGTGTATTTTAAGTGCCCTCCCTTCGTGAAATTTAAAGTTACCTGTGTTTTTTCCAAAATCTCCTGACCGTGAGACCCTGAGGCCTGAGTCCGGCCCCTGGGTGGTCCATTCTCCTCCCAGGATCCTGGGTCCCCCCTCCTCATCCTCATGTCACAGGCCACATCCCAGCCCAGGCTTTGCCACACTGGGACTCCAGCTCCCACAAAGATTCTGGTTAGGACAGCAGCAACCTCTGCCACATGACATGGCATCTCCAGGCCAGTGAAAATGTTCTCAGTTCAGCATCCTTAAAAATCCAAGCCAGGCCGGGCACAGTGGCTCACTCCTGGAATCCCAGCACTTTGGGAGGCTGAGGTGGGCAAATCACCTGAGGTGAGGAGTTTGAGACCGGCCTGACCAACATGGTGAAACCCCATCTCCACTAAAAATATAAAAATTAGCCGGGTGTGGTGGCACACACCTGTTATCCCAGCTACTCAGGAGGCTGAGGCATGAGAATAATTGCTTGAACCCAAAAGGCAGAGGTTGCAGTGAGCTGAGATCATACCACTGCACTCCAGCCTGGGCGACAGGACAAGACTCTGTCAAAAAAAAAAAAGGCCGGGCGCGGTGGCTCAAGCCTGTAATCCCAGCACTTTGGGAGGCCGAGGCGGGTGGATCACGAGGTCAAGAGATCGAGACCATCCTGGTCAACATGGTGAAACCCTGTCTCTACTAAAAATACAAAAAATTAGCTGGGCATGGTGGTGTGTGCCTGTAATCCCAGCTACTCAGGAGGCTGAGGCAGGAGAATTGCCTGAACCCAGGAGGCGGAGGTTGCGGTGAGCCGAGATTGCGCCATTGCACTCCAGCCTGGGTAACAAGAGCGAAACTCCGTCCCCCAAAAAAAAAAAAAAAAAAATCCAGGCCCATGCCTCCAGTATAGCCATCTTCCCAATGGGCTGATAGGAGAATGTCAGGTTACAGGTCCAGATTCCCGGGCTCCACACCAGACCTGCTAAATCAACCCCTCTGCTGAGGTTTTCGTGCCTCTGGTAATGGAGAGCCCACTCCCCCAGGAAATCCACCATCTTTGCACGGTTCCAGCTCTTCCAACATGTGCCCTTTTGCCCAGAGATGGCCATACAGGCACTGGGAGGTCAGGGCACACCCCTCCACGGTTTCCTCTGTGTGGGCCTTTCCTGGGGGAAAAAGAGGGACTCTGAGGACAGGCCCTAAAGCCCTCTGGCCTCCTCTTGGCAGCAGAGATCCATCTTCACCATGAAACCTTTTTCCTCTTTCACTTTTTATTTCATGTATGTATTTATTTTTTTGAGACAGAGTCTCGCTCTGTTGCCCAGGCTGGAGTGTAGTGGTGTGATCTCCACTCCCTGCAGCCTCCATCTCCCAGGTTCAAGCAATCCTCCTGCCTTAGCACTCCCGCCAAGTAGTTTGGATTTCAGGCACGTGCTACCATGCCTGGCCCATTCTTTTGTATTTTTAGTAGAGATGGGGTTTCTCCATGTTCACCAGACTGGTCTCGAACTCCTGACCGCAGGTGATTCACCCTCCTTGGTCTCCCAAAGTGCTAGGATCACAGGCATGAGTCACTGCATCCAGCCCTCTTTCACTTTTTAACTGAGGTATAATATATGTGCAGTGAAGCTCCTGGATCCCCTTCCTCGTCACAACTCCCATAGAGTAGTTTTTCCTGTTCTTGGACCTCACATAGAGGAAATACGATAGTGTGTGCTCTTTTGTGCTTGGTTTCTTTTACTCAGCATTGTGTCTGTGAGCTGCGTTCATCTGTTGTGTGTAACTGAGGTTTGTTATTTTGCTTTGCTGTACAGGTTCCTACTGTGTGAACAGTCCACAGTTTATCAATTGATCCAACATTTGTTTCCAGTTTTTGCTGTTACAACGCCGCTCTGCACATTCTTGATTGTGTCTCTTGATGGATGGAAGCACTCATTCGGGCATCTACCTAGGAGCGGAATTGCTGGGCTCTAGTGTTGGCAGTGTTTGACCATGGTGGAAACCACCCGATGGTCTTCCAAAGTAGTTGTACCATTTTACCTCAGCAGAGCGTGGGCGTTCGAGGTGCTCCACACATCACTGACCTCGTTTTTTTTTTTTTTAACTTTGTTTTTGCTTGTCTTTAAGCATTCAGATGGGTGTGTAGTTGCACGTCATTGTGTTTTTTTGTTTCCGTTGTTTTGTTTTGAGATAGAGTCTTACTCTGTCACCCAGACTAGAGTGCAGTGGCATGATCTCAGCTCACTCTGCAGCCTTCACCTCCTGGGTCCAAGCGATTCTCCTCCCTCAGCCTCCCAAATAGCTGGGATTATAGGTCCACACCACTACGCCTGGCTAATTTTTATATTTTTAGTAGAGACAGGGTTTCACCATGTTGGCCTGGCTGGTCTTGAACTCCTGACCTCAGGTGATCCACACACCTCGGCCTTCCAAAGTGCTGGGTTTACACAGGCGTGAGCCATGGCACCCAGCCACTCATTGTGTTGTAATTTGCCCTTCCCTGATGAGTAATGAGAAAAGTAGCCTTGCTTCAGGTGCTTATTGGCCACTGGGATATTCTCTTTTGTGAAGTGTCTGTTTGAATCTTTTGCTTATTTGAATAAGTGGGTAGTTTGTCTCTTATTGATTTACAGAAGCTTTGAAATATATTCTGTAGCCTCCATTGTCAGGTGCATGTGTTGGGATGATTTTCTCCCAGTCTGTGGCTTGCCTTTTAACTCTCTGAATGGTGTGATTTGATGAACTGAAATTCCTAGTTTTAGTGCCTTACGCACCTTTCCTTTTTTGGGGGAGTGCCTTTTCCATCCTGTTTAAGAGATCTAGACCAACCCCGAGTCTGGACAGGCTAATTGGTGCTGGCCACCGCCAGGGCTAAGTGCTCGGTTTCTGGAGCCTGAGGGTCTGGGTTTGCACTAATTCCAGCCACTCTGATACAAACCTCTTCACCTGTCTGAGCCTCAGTTTCTCCATCTGCAAAATGGAGATGCTGCCTCATGGCGCCGTTGGGAACACGAATGAGCTGACACATGTGAGATCTTGGTCAGTCTCCATGGTGGGGGTTTACTTTTCACTGTTCAAAGCCTGATCCTGACTCTTGCAGATTCAGGATTTTCCCCTAAAAGGACATGTGTTCAGCTGCTTCCTACAGTCAGGCCATGGCCTCCCCTTCCCCTGGGCATTTGGCAGAAACACCGACCCCCTGCTCTCCAGCCTCATCCTGATTTTTTTTTTTTTTTTAAGACCAAGTCTCACTCTTGCCCAGGCTGGAGTGTAGTGGCGCGATCTCAGCTCACTGCAACCTCCACTTCCCAGGTTCAAGTGATTCTCCTGCCTCAGCCTCCCAAGTAGCTGGGATTATAGGCCCCCACCACCATGCCCAGCTAATTTTTATATTTTTAATAGAGATGGGGGTTTGCCATGTCCACCAAGCTGGTCTCAAACTCCTGACTCCAGGTGATTCACCCACCTCGGCCTCCCAAAGTGCTGGGATTACAGCGTGAGCCACCGCACCCGGCCTCCCAGCTGGATTCTTGGTCCGGTGGCTCCAGGGAATCTGCCCCAAGCCGCCAGCGCCCCAGGTGTGTAGTGTCTGGCTAGCAGTTGGATCCAACTGCTCATCTGACAGAGGAAGGCACAGGCCTGAGAGGGAGCGGGGCTGCTCAGAGACTGAGGCGCAGTCTCTCCACAACCTGTGTGCCCTCCCTCCAGCCTCGCCTCTGTGCCCTGCCCCTGCCCTGCACAGAGTGTAAGCAGCCCCCCCTTGCTGTGTTACAGTGGGGACACCCTACTACATGTCGCCAGAGAGGATCCATGAGAATGGCTACAACTTCAAGTCCGACATCTGGTCCCTGGGCTGTCTGCTGTATGAGGTGAGTCTCTGCCCGTGGCTCAGCAGCATTTGGTGGGACATGCGTTGGTGGGGGGACAGTTAGGGCAGGGCTCACTTTACGAGCTCAGGGTCGGAACCCGGAATGTCATATTCACCTGAGACATCAGTACCACCAGGGCCCTGTCCTTCACCCTCCCCAGCCCCACATGGGGCCTGGTTTGCAGGGCCAGACTGGTAGAGGTTATTAGGGGTTGGACAGCAGTGGGCGGGGTCCAGGAAGGAAGACAGAGGGAGCACAGGCCAGGCATCTGATCCCTAGCTGCCCCTGTCCGGGTCGCCCAGGAAACCACATAACACACTGGAGATTGTGTTCATTGTTTATTATGGGTCAGGACCCGTGCACCAGGGTCAGGAGAGGACTCAGACCTGCCTCAGGCCCCTGAATTGCTCTCCACTGACAGGTGGCCACCCGTCCGGGCCCAGCAATGTGGGTTTCCCCAAAGACCACACCTCTCCCCTGAGCCGGGAAGTGGAGCTAGGAGGGGGCCACTTCCAGACCTGCTAGCCTGCCTGGAACCCACACACTGAAAGAACCTGTCTCAGCTGCTGTGGCCAGTGAGAGTCCACAGCTCGGAACAGTGTGTCCAGGGCCTGCCTCCAGTGCTAGGCAGTTGTCCACAGAGCCTGATGGCTGGGCCCGCTCGTGGACCATTCGAGTCTGAGGCCTGACCTCACAGCCCTTGCACATGAACTTGAGGGATACGCTGCGGTCGCTGGACCACGTGGGGCCTGTGGCAGCTCACATGGCCAGGGTCTTGTGGCCAGGGTCTTTTGGTGATGAGATTTCCCCTCCCCACATTACAGATTGGGACTATGACATCAAAACCCTGATCCGTTTGCAGGGTTTACACTTCACTGCATCTTTTTTTTTTTTTTTTTTTTAAACAGTTTTACTCTGTCGCCCAGGCTGGAGTGCAGTGGCGTGATCTCGGCTCACTGCAACCTCCGCCTCCCAGGTTCAAGCAATTCTTCTGCCTCAGCCTCCCAAGTAGCTGGGACTATAGGCACCCATCACCCTACCCGGCTAATTTTTGTATTTTTTGGTAGAGACAGGGTTTCCCCATGTCAGCCAGGCTGGCAGCATCTTTCTTTATAAGCCAGTGACCTGCTATTTATTTTAAGAACACATATTTCATTTTAAAAGACTGGCTGGAGGTGTGATCCTTATGGAACTAGTGCTTAGGACCCCCTCTCCTGGTGCTCAGCAGATGTGGGTGACCCAGAGCATCCTCTCGAGGGTCTGTGGGTGAGTCTGGCCGTGACAGAGCTGGGAAGCAGGCTGAGTGCTCTCTCCAGGACTCCACAGGGCATCGGTTGCAGGAGGAGCTCTTTGAAAGAGCACCTAGCTGGAGCAGCCATGGAGAGTGTCTGCCGTGGATGGGCGAGTGCTCCCCAGGTGGAAGGGGATGAGCCTTTTGTCCTCCCTGCCTCCCTGTCTCTCCACAGCCCGGCTCCTGGGTGGGTTGGGTGGTGATCGTTGAGCAGGGTGTGTGAGTGAGCTTAGGAGATGGCAGTGGATGCAGGAGGGAATTTGGAGGGAAGTGTCTTTAGCCACAGGAGAAAGGAGGTGAAAGTCCAAACTCTTCCGAGAGGCGACAGGAAAGAAACCTGCTGGCCTGGAGGGCCCGTGTACCTGCACATTCCGAGGAGCCCTGGGGAGGGTGCGTGCTTTTTACTTTACAGAGAAAACGTTAAGTCCAGGTGGGCAGAGCCCCTGGTGAGGAGAGCCACTGTGCCTCGGGGTTTGTCACCCAGGAGTCATGAGTTCAGGTCTCTCTGGGACTCCTCTAAATCCAGGCACTTATGCGGGTGACCACTCTGGCCACCAAGGTCACTTGAGGCCAGCAATAGAGCCACGCCCATGCCACCTGCTAACTCGGCTCTCCCTAGGCTCAGAACTCCAAGGTCACCGCCCTGCCCCTACCTGCCCTAGGGTCTGAGGAGGGGATGCAGACCCACCTGGAAGTGGGCATCGTCCATCCAGTGTCAGATCCTGAGGGGCAGAGACAGGTGTTACGGGTCTCCCAAGGCCCGGGCAAATGCCCTCAGCATAGTGGACAGTTGGGGAACACGATTTTGAATTACAGCATGTATCTGTGTGTAGGCAACTCACTTGCAACAACTCACTTCCATCCAAATCCCAGCTCCATGGCTCCCCTACAGAAGGATCCGGGCAAGTCAGCCCCACCCCAGTGGGCTCCAGGTGTCCCATGTAGAGAATGAGACCCCAGCCTGCCTTGTCATAGTGAGGAGTGAATGAGGCCCTGGGGGTGAGGCGCCCGAGTCTGAGAAGGCCCTCGGGCCTGTCCAGCAGCTGCAGGCTGAGCATGGGCACTTCTGCCTGCCCCTGGCATGAGACTCCTGCAGCTTGTCACATTTCCCTCTTTGCTTTGGCCAGCGGGAAGCCAAAGTGCAGCTGAGCCTCAGTCCTGGAGCTGGACTTTGGCTTCCCGCTGGCTTCATCCTCCTCTCCTCATGCGTCTCGACCCTGGGCCAGATGGATTTTCATTTAACATTCTGCTTTGGATTCTTGTCAGCTGCTTCCTGTCCCCCATGAACCACGGGGGTCTCCACACATAAACACGCACAGCACATAAACACACATAGGCTGGCCAGGCTGACTGAGCTGTGCCCACCTCCCCTGGGACTGGGGCAGGGCTGGGGCCTGGAGGCAGGCAGCTGGCCCCCTCTGCCTCTGCCAGGCCCTCCACTTGAGAGCCAGCCCTGCGGTTCCCAGCCCCATTCCCTGCTCGAGCCTGTGTCTCAGCTCTGCAGAGACAGACGCAGCGCAGCCTGTGCCAGGCCTCATTGGACTCTGGGTCAGGCAGTCCTCCTCTGAGTCCTCATTTCTGGGCACCTAAATGAATCTCATGAGGCAGCATCCACCTTCCTGGCACCCTGGCATTGAGGCTCGGGTTCTGCCGAGCTGACTCAATTGTTGGAGTGAGTGGGGCTGTGCGGCTTGCAGCCAGGTGGGCGGGTACTGCTCGCAGGGGTGTGGGGGCAGGGGGACAGATTGAAGCCTGGGGGCACCAATCAGCAGCAGGAAGTGAATGAAACACAGCCGTTTGGCGCCCTCAGGGATGGCCTGCACTGACCTAAACCGAGCAGCCCTAGCCTCCCACAGCAGCAGGCTGGTGTGGCTACCCATGGCTGGCCCCTCCAAGGGTGACAGGGCAGAGGCTCTGTGCCAGGTGACCCCCTCCCCACTCCTGCACCACGAAAGGGGAAGGCAAAGCAGCGTTTTACCAGCAGACAGGGAGGGGAGCCACATCTGAGCCCGGGACTGTGTAATTGGCAAGAGGCCTCCCGCAGTCACGCCCAGAGCCTCCCACCCCATAGCCTGTGGTGTCTTCCAGGGCCACCAGCCTGAAGAGCTGTGACAAAGCCCTCCCACCTTCTCCGAACTATGGCTGAGGATCCCACACAGGGCACATACCCAGGTCACCTGGGCTCCAGTGACAAACACAGCGGGTGAAAACCTGCCCTTCCTGGAGCCCCAGCATGGTGCCAGAAGGCTCAGAAGCCCCTGTGCCCGTCCCCTGTGGCTGCAGTAACAGATGCCACGATGCTGATGGCTTCAAGCAACATAAGTTTACTCTCTTAGAGCTCTTGGATTCTGGAGGCCAGAAGTCAAAATCAGTCTTGTTGGGCTGAGCCAAGGTGTCAGCAGGCAGGCCCTTCTGGAGATTCTGGGGGCAAATCTGTTTCCTTGTGTTTCCATGGAAAATGGAGAAGCCAACGCAGTCCTCGGCCCCCTCTTCGCATCACCACAGCCTCTGGTGCGCATCAGCCTGGCTCCTTCCCCTCTTCTGTGCCTCCTCCCTCAGGCTCCATCTCACAAGGGCTTTTGTGGCTACGCTGGGGGCCCACCTGGATAATCCCCGCATCTCAGGAGCCAAAATTTCATCACACCTACAAAATCCTCTTTGCTCTATAAGGTGTCATTTACAGGTCCCAAAAATTTGGGGCTGGACGTGTTTGGGGCCCATCACTGAGTCCCCTATACCCTCTCCCCGACCTGGGCATCCAGCTATTACCAAGGACCGCCTGTGGCACCTGAGTTGCTGGCGCTGACCCCAGCTGGTGAGAGCCACCACAAAGCCCCGCAGCTGGCCCTTGGGTGGGGCCCCAGCAGAGTGCCTTGAAGAGGCTGGAATGAGAGCACTGGCCCTCGGGTGAGGCCCCAGCAGAGTGCCTTGAAGAGGCTGGAATGAGAGCACTGGCCCTCGGGTAGGGCCCCAGCGGAGTGTCTTGAAGAGGCTGGAATGAGAGCACTGGCCAAACATAAGAGTAAATCACAAGACCCGCAGGCCAGGCGGTGGGGAGCCCCCAGTGGGAGCTGGGAGCAGAGATGCCCACACTTGGGATATTGGAAGGCCAGGCTGTTTTCATTACCCGGATGCCCATGGAGGTGCCCAGCAGACTGCCTGCTCTGCAGGATTGATTTATCTACGTGGGAGCTCAGCTCCAAGCATGGAGCTGGAGGAGTTGGCTCATTCAGCGCCAGTCCTAGGATCCTCATGGGGGGCTTTGTCGCAGCAGCCTTGAGGGGCCCTACTGGGACTGAGACCCAGCAAGACAGCAGACTCAAGAGGAAGATGGCGGCGCCTTGGCCGGGATGCTGCTTTGGAATCCTGCTCAGACGGCAGAGTGGCCTGGACACCCCTCCCAGGTGGAGGAGCAGGGCTGCAGACCTCCTGGCCTCTGGTCACCCTTCAGTCCGGGATATGCTCGAGAGAGACTGGGTGATGGGTGTCTGAAGCCCTGACAGGCAGGAGTCAGATCACCCTTGGCCCTCTGACAGCTCGGATCACACACCAGCTTCTCTGAGCCCTCCCAGTGGGGAGCTGGGGCCCACCCGCCCCCTTTTCCTCAGCTGTGTGTCACCCTGATAACACCAGGAAGAAAAGTGGCATCTGAGGAGCAGCGATGAGAGCCGTGGCTCCGGCAGTTCTAACGAGGACCCAGACAGTGATTCCTCTCCGTTTTGACCAGTTAGAGGCTGGGTGGTCACTGGTACAAGGGGATCTCGCCATCCCGGGTAATCGTTCTAATCCCCACAGCCCAGAGGTTCCTTCACAGTCTGTCGCCCTGATGAGGGTGGAAGGCCTGTGGCCGGCAGCGGAGGGGGAGAGGCTGGGGCAGACGGAGGCGGCCTGTTCTGGGGAAGGCCAAGAGGGGTCCTCTGGCATAGCTCAGTGCTGACCCCATTCAAAAGCCTTTTCTGAAGTGACAGGGGGAAAGTGCTGGGAAGAGCAGAGACATGATCTGAAGGAGACGCCAGCTTGGGGGCTGTTTCCCTCAGTTTTCTGGGGCCTTTGGAGTTCCAAGCAGCAAGGTTTACAAAACTCAGATCAAACGGGCTTGATCTGAAGTTGAAGGTTGCCGATTCCTTCCCCGGTCAGACACATGAAAAACTAGGGCCTACATTCATGGGACCAACACGCGAACTATCCCTTCTCCTCTGCACAGTGACTGTCCAGGAAAATCCACCACAATCCTCCAGCCACAGCTCGGGTGGTCACAGCCCCACTGGTGGTGCCGCCTCCATGTGCCAGCACAAGCCTGGCCACAGGCCTGCAAGTGGAAATATTTTACAGAAGAGGAAACGAAGTCTAGGCACATGAGTGCAGAGCTGTGGCTGGCTGTGGAGCCAGGCGCCTCCCTCCCACCCTGAAGCTTCCCTGAAACACGCTGCTGAGCCGAGGCCGCCTCCCTCCCCCGAACCCTCTACTCGCCCTGCCCTGGGATCCCCTGCCCTGGGATCGGCAGCTGGCTTCCACAGGAGGCAGCTCTGCAAGGAGCTGGCAAGAACCAGCACGGTGAAATGCTGCACCCTTCTCAGCCCGCCCTCCCCACATCAGTCCGTAGGTGAGGAACGTGCCCTGAATGTACAGTGCACAGATACCCCTCCCCACGGGCATCTTTGAAAGCGCTTTTTATGGAAATAAGACTGTGCACTCAGAAACCTGCCACTTGGAGCCTGGGTCCCTCGGGCTGAGGTGGGAGTGAGGCAGAGATTGGCGTGCAGCATCCAGCTGCCCCGCTTTATTGCCTTTTAAGTTTTGTCACTGAAACCCCCGTGCCCACTTAATTCAGTGATGGAAGCAGGATGGCAGTGCTAGGCCTGCTCCTCTGTTGAACCCCCGTGTGATCAGCAATTCAGGGGAGAAGTCCTGCTGGACTCCTTGTGGTTGGGACCGGAGAGCCCATGCCCTGATCTGGAGCAGCCGCCTCTCCAGTCCTTCTGAGCCACGAGGCCAAAGGCTCATCTTCGTTGTCTCCCTCCCTTGCAGATGGCAGCCCTCCAGAGCCCCTTCTATGGAGATAAGATGAATCTCTTCTCCCTGTGCCAGAAGATCGAGCAGTGTGACTACCCGCCTCTCCCCGGGGAGCACTACTCCGAGAAGGTGAGTTTGCAGGAGCCAGAGGCCTCGTCAGCTCCGGCGGCCACCGAGGCTCATGAGGGCCACTCCAAAGCATCGCAGCTGAGGTCAGGCTTATTTTACATGGTACAGAAAGGGCACTTTCTGGAAAAGTGACTTGGAGAGGGGAAAGTAGGTGATTGCACTGAAGGGGTTTCACCATGCGGCTCCAGTGTAGGACCCCCAGGCAAGAACCACTAGGATGTGGCCCTTGGCACACCTCCACCTGTTTGGCTCCCAGCTTGGTGCTCCAGGAGGCCCACTGCTGCAGGTCCCCAGGACGGGCTCTGTGCGGCGCCAGACATGGAACAGATGCAGGGGCAGGATGTAGCTAGCAGGCCTGGCGTCCCCATAGTGCCGATGGTCGCCACAGCGCCCATGGCAGGAAACCACGGCAGGGAGACTGGTCAGTTTCCTCCTTACAGTAACAGACTTAAGCCACACCCTGGGCTTCTACTGTCAACATTTTACACTGGCTGCAGGGGCCATGGACACAGGCTCTGATGGGTCTGGCGTGGGGCTGTGCCAGTTACTAGGAACGTGCAGATGTCTTCTTCGTCGGCTCCAACACCTTGAAGATAGGACTAAACATTTTTGGTGAATAATCGTGAGGAAGATAGGTTTCCTGGCATAGTAGGGTCAAAAGTATAGACACGCGTTCACACGCTGCCTGCGCTGTTCCTAGGTGAGTCACCTAACCTTCCTGAGTCTGTTTCGTCATTTATACAATGGGGATAATAATAAACCTTCCACACAGGATCAGCGTAAGGATTAGGGTAGGGCACCAGGCTAACACTGCCACCACCATCGAAAGTGGCCAGTGGACAGGGCCTGGCTCAGTCAGTGCTCACTAAATGTCACGTGACCCTTCTATTCAAGGTCAGTGCTAGTGGGTGTGTCTGGGGCCTCCCTGGGCCCACCCATAGGACCACAGGCCATCACCTCACGATAATAACAGCTCATGTTCAGACTTCCTGAGTTGAATCTTCCCGACCCGTTTACCAATAAGGAAACAGACACAGGCGATTTAAAGACGGTGAGGCAGGATCGGAACCCAGACGCCCAGCCAGAGCCCTCCTGCTACTTGATGGCATGTCTCTTTGGTGGCCCATTAACTAGCTGGGGTGAGGCTCTGGAAGGAACACCCTTGCCCTGGCCAAGCTGCATGGGACAGGTCCCACGTGTTCTGCCTGTGTCCAGGCAGGAGGCTCCTCGCGGGGAACCTGCGCTCAATGGCGTCGCGGACGCCAGGGCTAGAGCACGAGTGTCTGGGGCGCTGCACGAGGCCCTTCCTCTCCTGGCTTCACAGTTCCGACCTGCACCTTTGGAGGAAGTATTTATGCTCCCCATTGGGAGGAAAAACAAGTTGCATCTCTTTACAAAGTTAAGAGCTGCCATTTGCTTTTTCCTTTCTCATCTTCTGAATCTGGACTTGTGTACGATTCGGAAGCATGAAGCCGTGCAACTGGAGCAGATCACAGCCCTGTGCTTTGGTCAATCTATAAACAGGAACTGTCCTCTCTGCTTCAGTAATGAGGCTGAAATGAACACTGAAGCCCCCTGTTCCAAGTCAGCCCTTTCCTGGCCACGAGCCCCTGCTCCGCACAGCACCAGCTCTCACCAGGCCTGTGCAGCATTTCTGGGCCCCGTGCTTGGGGGTGAGAGGTGGTGCTCAGGAGCCCGGGGACACACCCCATTTTTAGTTACATTGCTGCTTAGAAATGAAAATAACCTATGCTATTGTTTCTCTTGAATTCTAAACATTTCAAACATGCACTTAACTGCTAACTGTGCATCTAGTTCATCCGTTAGTGCAGGTCACAGACTCTTCACCTGAATCTGGTTTTCTGGGATTTTAATCTGTCAGAGGCCAACCACAGGTACCTTCCCCCGAATAGTGTAAGGTTCAGAAAACAGCTGTCTGGTCCATAGGCCACCTCAGACTCCAGGGGCGGCCCAGCAGGCTGCAGGCCCCGCTGTCACCTGGGCTTCTCCGCTGTAAGGCATGCGTACAGGTTGGAGGGGATGGCCTAAGGCTCTGCAGCCCAGAGAAAATGCCCCATCACCTCAGGAGCCTGTCCACAGGAAGCTCAGGCCCCACCCCTCAGCCTAAGGAGCCTGTGTGGCACTAGCCCCTGGGCCTCCAGAATGTCCCTTGGGCCCTCCCCAGACTGAGCGTGGCCTCTGAGACCACCAGAGCCCCCTCTGGTTCAGGACCTCCTGGCTTCCTGCTGCCGCCACAACTTGTGGGACTGGCCACCCCTCTAGCAGCAGGTATTTAAATGAAAACCAATGGTGGTGAGCCGTGATGCAAGTTAAGAAGATGTAGGCATTTTAAGGTCATTATTTTAATTACCATTAAAATAATTGGCACTCTGGCTATCATAAGAACTGAGCTGATCAGAGGCACAGGGTGCCCCTCCCCCACCTCGGGGCGGGAACAGCCTTCAGTGTCTGTATAATTAAAAGCTCCATCTTTCATGAGCACAATAAAAGGGCCGGGGGTGGGCATGCTGCAGCCCTTCTGCATGTTAATGCATTTATTATGATCAATAAGCCCTTTCCTTGAGTTTTGTCCTCTGGTTTGGGCATCTGCGTGAGTGACAGCAGAGAGAGAGAGAGAGAGAGACAGACAGACACACACACACACACACACACACACACACACACACACACTCTCTCTCTCTCTCTCTCCCCCTCCCTCCCTCCCTCCCCTAGGAGAGAGAGACAGACAGACAGACAGACAGACAGACACACACACACACACACACACACACTCTCTCTCTCTCTCTCTCTCTCTCTCTATCTCTCTCTCTCTCTCTCTGCCCAATGGTCTTAAGGTCTCAAAGTGCAGCCTTTGGGGCTAGACAGGCCCAGGAGGGGTCCTGGCTAGCCCTTGGGAGCCTCGCGGCTGCACGCCCCTTACCTGCCCCCACTAAACACTGTTCTTCAGCTCTGCGGGGGACAACGGGACCGTCTAGTTGCTCTGAGGATCAAGTGCCTTCATGCAGACAGATTGCGGAGCGCGGAGCCTCAGTAAGGCTGCTTTCTTAAGAATAACCCACCATTCTCTCCCCTGCAGTTACGAGAACTGGTCAGCATGTGCATCTACCCTGACCCCGACCAGAGACCTGACATCGGATACGTGCACCAGGTGGCCAAGCAGATGCACGTCTGGATGTCCAGCACCTGAGCGTGGATGCACCGTGCCTTACCACTTTGCCTTACCTGAGTCATCTTCTCTTCAAGTGGCCACCTGGTAGCCTAGAACAGCTAAGGTTCAGCAGGTTCCCCAAAAGGCTGCCCAGCCTTACAGCAGATGCTGAAGGCAGAGCAGCTGAGGGAGGCGCGCTGGCCACACATCACTGATGGTCAAATTCCAAAGTCCTTTCTTTCTTCTGTCGTGGACAATCGCAGCTGGGTTAACAGGGGCAGTGGTTCAGTGAGCCACGGCAGCCCTGGATCTGGATTGTACTGTGAATCTTTCGGGTAATTCCTCCAGTGACCTGTCAAGGTTGATGCTAACAGGAGACTTGCAGGAGACCGTGTGATTTGTGTAGTGAGCCTTTGAAAATGGTTAGTACCAAGTTCAGTTTAGCTCTTAGTATCTTTTCAAACAATCAGGCTGTGTGCTTAATTTACTCTGTTGTAAAGGGATAAAGTAGAAATCTTTTTTTTTCCGTGGAGTGGAGATTCTGTTATTTTTATCTACGTTTTATGGCTTGGTGAGTGACGATGCGAAGAGCCCTGCATCTGGCCGGAGCGTCACATGGCAAATGGCATCGAGAAGCAAGAGCATTTTCCTGGCAGCCAGGCTGGGCCATCTCCTCCTGGATACTGCTGTGTACCAGGCACTTTGTCACCTCCCTGAATGCTGGCCCAGCATTTCATGATCAGTGTTATGCATTTTCCTCCACGGGAAGGAAGCATGGATAGAGAAAACCTAAGGGCTGTCCTTGACAAATTCTGGTTCTGCAACTTCCTAGTGTGACTAGGCTTGGGCAAGTTTCTTGGCCGTTCTGAGCCTCAGTGTCCTCATCTGTACAATGAGATTAACGGTATCTATCTATCTACCTTCGGGGTTGCTGACAGAATTTGAAAGAAAATATGCACGTTAGCTAGCACAAAGTAAATGATCCAAAAACGGCGGCCACTCACCCCTCACAATGAAGTCCACGGACCACGGAACCAAGAATTCAAGTCCACCTGTGTCATGTGTAGGAAACCAGAAATGTGTTCCTTATTTCTTGTTCCCAAACAGGATTAACTGTGAAGACTAATTTATAAATGTGAACCTAAGAAAACTCGAGCTCTGAAGGAAATCATTTGAATTTTGTTTTTGTACACAAAGCTAACCTTCCAGTGGTCTGAGCTGTTGTCACTGACCTGATGACAGTCTGGCCCTCCAGACGAGCAGTGCTGGCATCGTGCAGGTGACTCCTGACACCTGCTGCCTGCAGGCGTTTGCTGACCAGGCCTTTCCTGAAGGAAACACCCAGGGCCAGGCGGCTGCTGTTTCCACGCATGGACTCAGTTCTGCTGTAACACTGTCGGTCTGACCGTCTCTCCACATGCAGCCTTTCCTCTGTACTTGTTCTCCATCGTTGAAATAAAACAGGGTGACTGGGAGTTACTTATAACTCGTGAATGATTTTAAAACGGCTTTGGCGATTTTGCTCTTAAACCAGTAGATCCAAAACTTCAAAGTGTCCACAGCACGATTTCTTGAGGAACCTTGAAAAACACAAGTTCCCAGGCCCCAGACATTCACTAATTCCAGGATTTAAGTTCCTCAAATAATTTTGATACTTATCAGCCAAGTTTCTGCCCTCAGTAATTCCACTGTTCTCCCCAGCCTGCTCCTGGCAGCTCTCACACAGGAGCTGGCCTGAGAGCAGATTCACCCTGGAATGTTCTCTCCAGGGAGAATCAAGTCCCTACCTCCTGCCTAGTGCTTACCACTGAAGGATTTTCTGATTCCATACACACTTGTTGCCAGTATTGTGCTTCCAGCTCTCTAAGCCCCCACCGTGCCTCCCCGACACTGCCAGCCCCAGCACGCAATGATCCCACTCTGCGCGCCACCCACTTTCCACACTGTGAGAACAGTCTGCCCAATCAGACCCTCTGAAGGTGCACGATCTCAACCACTCTCCAAGCCTGAGTGTTTGTGAAATGATCACGTCCTACTTACTCCAAAACAGTAACCCCAAAACATTCATTTCTGTGAAACCGGCCAAAGTAGGGTCACCCAGCTTCACACAGCCCTAGTGGTGCACCTGCCCAGCTTCTCTTGGTACTCAGAACTGAGCTGGGCTTAAGAATGCAAACTCAAGAGGTTCATCTTTGCCATTTCTTTCCTACTTGGCCGCTGAGGTGGAAGGCTGTGCTGCACTTATCACCCCACTTCAAACCAAACCCAGGGCCACCACAAACAAAGACAGCCAGCAAAAGGGGAGGGTATCGACGTTCACCTGAAGCCGCAAGGGAGTCCACTCTGACTTCTGACAGCAGCCCGAACCTGTCTGTCCCCAGGAGGGGCGCATGGCTCCTACACTCTCCTGAGCTGGGGCCAGTGCTCAAGGAGGATCAGCAGCCTTAGCAGCCCCCCACTGCCCCCAAAAATACCACACAGTGCCCAGACCTCAGCTGCCCAATTTGGCTTTCATTTTTTATTGAGTTTCATTCAGCGAACCTGAACGTCTTATGGGGCCTCCAATGCCCGCCATCTTCCAGAACCACAGCTGGCCACCCAGACGCCATTCAAGAAGTGTCCATCGTTTGGACTGTTTCTTCCAGCACCTCAATTTCCAGAGTAGTGACTTTTTCAGTGAGGATTGCAGTGGTCCCTTTCTCACACCTGTACCGCCCAAACCTAGTGAGAGAAAAACAAAAGCACAGAGTTAGGATTCCACTCAAAGTGCCGGAGGGCAGGAGACAGTGAAAACAGATACTCAGGCGAGGCAGTGAGCAGGCTGGACTCCAGTCCTGGCTGTCCCGATCCTAGCTCTGTGATCTTGGGGGATTCCAATTCCTCAGCTCTCAAGTGCTACAAAATGGGAATGCCTAGGAGGCACCTAGTGTGCATTAGAGAACACAGCCCTCGGCCCCTGGCAGACATGTGACCCCCCCACCGCAGCATCCCCAGCAAGTGCTGGGAAGCACTTGGTCCCTTAACATCAATCTTCAGCCTCCCCACAGCACCCTTCAGTGACAGCAGGAAGCAAACTCCATCGTTACACAAGAGGACGGCATGGCTGCCCTTCTCATGTGCAGCAACTAGGACAGCTTACTGCTACCTTAGACACGGCACCGACAGCCGGAAGCACAGACAGTACAGAAATACATGCAGCCAGGCTCTAAGCTTGTCATTTCAGACCACTCTCAAGCCTCAAGAAAAGTTAACTGTCCCCTTCAGGGACACCGTGGATTCCCACTAGGACACACCCAACACCTTCTTCCTTGGAGGGAATCTGGCAGAGGTTTCTTTGAGTACCAGGCAGTCTAGAAGAAACATATTTGGGATGTGAATTCTCACACTGGGTCAGGAATTAGGATACTGTCAAATGGCAGCACACACCCAACTGTTCCTCTGGTCTATTCCCAGCTGGGATAATATTTTTGTCAAACTGGCAGGAACTACCAGAAGGCTGCTGGCTGTGCCATGACCTTGTGCTCCAGGAGCACCCATCCTCTCCCCTGGCACATGAGCTAAAAGAGGAAGCAGGAAGCAAAACAAGGAGGGCAACTTCCACACTTCTACATCTGGGTCAGGAGCATGGTCAGCCCACAGTGGCCTGCCTTAATTCTGCCAAGCCTCCCCTAACCCCTACTCTCTTAAAGGATCTAAGCAAAAGTACTTTTAAACAATGTGTCCCCACCCCATTAGTTTCAAGATGTCTCGTTCCTTACATGCTGGAATGTGGTGGCAGCGTGCCATCTTGGAGCCAAAGTCCCATGTGGCCTCTGTGTGCCTGACTCATCTGAACCAACCCTCAGTGTCTATGGGAGGCTTGGACACATGAGCCTGCTTCACCACTGTGGTGACAGTGCCCAATTTTGGCCACATGCAGGCAGGCTTCCACTTTAAGTGCCAGTGGACTGCAAGACCGCACGGTGGAGGGCTGTGAGCAGAGGAGGCAGCAGGGACTTGCCAGGCAAGGACCCCTGCAGAAAGCACAGGACGCTTACTCAGACCTCTGGCCCTGCCCGCACCCTGCCATGCACCCTAGGAAGGGCTCCCTAACTCAGGCAGTGCCCCCATCTTCAGTCACTGGCAGAGAAGACTCCAGGGAGCTTGGACAAGGAGATTCCAGGGAGCTTGGACACTTGCTGCCTTTGACCTCAGGACACCAATGGGGAGCAGGCTCCGTGCAGGCTGCTGCACACCCACCACGCACCCAGCACCTTCTGGGTCACCTCCTGACTTCACAAGCAGCCATGGGGCAGTTTTGTTTCTGTTCTTGGGTGTTTGGAGCCTCTCTTTACGGCGGGGCACCCCCGCCCGGGGAATCAGGATGCACCGCTGCTGCACTCCCATTAGATGAGGACCCTGCACTGAGCACAGATTCCCTAGGCAACCACAAATACCCCTCTCCTCAATGGCCCAAATGTGGCTTTCAGGGTCCTCACCCAGGACCCTGTCCAGCCTGAATGATGTAACCATTCCCTACCCCATCACCGCTTCACCATGGCCTTGCTCACATCATGCAGCATGTTGCAAGCAACCAGGGAAGCAGGCTATGTGGAGTACTTGGCTCCCACCTACTCGGAGCTCGGCAGAGCCCAGTCCCCCAACACAGCTCTGGGCCTGAAAGGTAGCCCTTCCTCCTAAAGGCCCAAGGGACTTTGTGGGCTCATTAGAGGTCATCTGGTTTAGCTCCATTTCAAAGACAGGGAGACTGATTTGCTGGAAGCCACCACGCCAGCCACCAACATTCCCCAACCCCAGTGCCAGAGCTCTCTGGCCCGTGCTGCCCCACTCCAGCAAGAGCCCACTGAGTTTCCGCAGGGTGGAATGCGGACCACAGTGAATACCTGCTGGTTCTGAATGTTCCGTTCTTTCCTTGTGAATTACTCCAGACTTGGAGCTGAGTGTGCAGTGGGAGATGAAAGCAAGCCTGCAGAAGGTGACGCTCACTATCCTCTGGGCGAGCCGTGGGGCTGGGTGGGAGCAGTAGTTTATAAATACCCTGTGCTGCACTCAGATGGTTGCAGCCGGAAGCAGCGCTCAGGGAGCCTATCCTGCCTGAGCTGCTTGGGCTCCCAGAAGAGGTAGGAGCCACAGGACGGTCAAGCAGCTGGATGATCATGAGACACTGCAAATGAGCTGCTCCTCTAACACATGACAGCCACCAGGTTTGGAAAACTTCCAGTTCTATTCAGCAGATCAACTAGAACCTCTCCCACCAGTGAGTCTGGGCTGCACCACTGAGCCGAGGGCCCACTCAGCACGTAGCACAGGATAAATGGCACAACTCCCCGTAGCACAGCAGACACGCATTAGCTCCCATGGCCACTTCTGGGAGTCTGTTAGCACTGCTGACTTACGCCCAGTTAGGAATCTTGGAGCATTCTGAGGGAAAGTGCTGAGGCTGCCGTGAAAAATGTACCTTCTCACAGAATTCAAGGGATTCTTAAGACACTTGAGAAAGGGCAGCGGATGATCCAAACCTCTCCGCCCCACTTTCCAGCCTAGGGCTCTTTCCTGGGCCACCCTCCACCCCTCCCATCAAATTAAATCATTCTCCTACACCTGACAGCACCCCACTGTCATAAAGCAAGTAATGAGCCAAAGTTCTCTGCAGGAGGCTGATTTGGGAATACTGGATGTACTTAACGTGGGAAGAACCAAGAAAACTCCATCCAGATGCCATGGAGATACCAAGGGTGGCCACAAAGCCAGGGGACCCAGAAAGAACTTTGTCTCCTTCACTAACCTGGTCCCCTTCTTGTTGGGCACTGTGTATGGGCGGAGAAAATCCAGCTTGCTCTTGCTGATGACACAGAGATCAATGTTGCTTCCAGAGCCCAGGTCGTTGAAGATGCCGGCAGCAATGGCTTCGCTCACCAGCTTCTTGGCTTCCTCCTCCTGAGAAACAGAACGGCAGCAATGACGTCCACGGCTGAACCAGGGCCTGCTCTGATATCCACAACATGCTTCCACTAGCAGCAGGCGAGACCTCCTGAGAGGTAGGTGTTGCTTTTAATGCCCATTTCACAGATGAGGAAAAGATCTCAAAGTACCTCGATGATGTGCCCAAAGTTCCCAGCCTGGGCCTTAAAACTCTTTATGCACGCACTGCCTCTCCACCACATCGGACAGTCACCACACAGCAGAGCTGGAGGGCTAGTAACTGATCTTGTAAAGGGCCAGGGAGTAAATATTTTAGGCTTTGTGGGCATACAGTCTCTACCACACCCACTCAACTCTGCCATGCTAGCACAAAACAGCCACACACAAATACATCATCAAAGGGGTACAACTGTGATCTAATACAACACTATTAGCAACAGGCAGCGGACTGCAGTTTACTAACTAAGCCCTGATCTAGAACGTCCAACAACAGCTGGAAGTTACTTCCTGGTAACACAATGGGGAAAGTCAGCATTATGGGGCGGGCGGGGAACTAACACCAAAACACAACAGCAGTTCTGGG